TAGCAATCTCCATATAAAGAAAAGGTAAGTGCTGTTAGGATATGAAGTTTTAACTTTTAAACACAGGCACAATATGTACAACCTGTAATAACTGAACCATGCTGTTAGAAACATGTTCAATCAGAGTCTGTCAAAAGATTTATATACCACACAATTTATATACCACACAAACATGCTGACATGTGCAGAGAATCACAAACATAACAACTGAACCATGCTGACAGTCGTTTACAATAGGATACTTGGATACATTAGTCATTCACTGATATGATGCTCAGTCATTTGACTATAACGCAAAGCAACAATATCAGTACAACGATACTTATAAATTTTACCATTATTTACGTTGCCCGAACCATATCTGCAATCAAGAAAACCAAATAAAAGTGAGCCAAAACCTTGAGATTGAGAGGCGAGAATCGCAGCCAAACTAAAGGTTTTACAGTTTAAGATTCTAGCGAGAGTGAGGATTGATGGAATCTAGGGTTACGCTAGATTCCAACGAACGCAATAGGCAAGAACTCGAGCTTAGGTTTGAGTTAATACATCGCAAAAATCCCTCTTTTGCTCGCTTCGATTTAAACGCTGCCGCAAGAAGCTTAATTATCCGATGCCTTTGCATATTAGAGAGTAAAAAAAATTCGTAAATGCAGAAAAGAAATCCAGGTTGAGCTAAAAAGAATCGCAGTGATCGCAGTAAAAATAAACTAAATAAATTGATTAATTAATAGAGTAAGAAAGCTTACTCATTGCTGTAGTGTATAGAAATCAGCGATCACGGCGGCGAAAAATCAGAAGCCCTTGTTTTATTTATAGGCCAAATAAAATCATCTGGATACTACGATTTACGCGGATTTTAAAAAAGGTAGTAAATGTAATTAATTATATTACAGAGTGTTGCATTAAAAAACTTAAAAAATGAGATAAAAATTTAATTGGGAGTACCAATTATATTGTTATATTCACTGCATGTAACCTTCTCAATTGTATTGACATATTGTTCGCTTCTGCCAAACTGATTTTTCCTTTCAAAACTGTTGATGTACATTATAATTTTGAATCTTTATTAAACAGGTAATGCCTAAACGTTAATTTTTCGCCCTATATCTAACTATTTAAGCTGAAAAAAAAATATTTCATGTAACTTTTTGTTCTGATAATATGAATAACCTTTGTGAGACACTTCGCAATATAAGTTCTAGGTCTATTATAAAACTGAAGAAATTGGTAATTGATGTATTGTTTGTTAACGGTGTTGGAAAATCACTATGTAAATTGTATTAAAAAATACTTGTTAAAGTTTTTATAAATAATATCTGAAAAATTTAATATTACATTAGCGATGACATAACTCGCTAAATAACTTTGTAGCAATGCCTCGACTGATACTAAATTTCATTTTTTTTAGGAAAAACTCGTCTATAGTAGATTATTTATTTTATGGACCTCTCAAACTATTTATTATTTATTTATAGCTATAACCCATCTATAGTAGATTATCCTAAGTGCAATCATTATTTTTACCGTTGTAATAATAAAAGTCTTAGATATACTTTACGGTGTTTTTTTAATTTTTTTTTGGATATGGGTGGATTTCAAGCTTTTGGATGTAAATAAGTGTTTTTGAGTTTTGGTATTCCTTAAAACTTTGTCTTGTTTCAATTTTTGGATATGAATCCCTAAATTATA